GGAGCTGAACTACACGGCTTCACAGGTGTCTTCAGGGACGAGGAAGCTGTGGTGTCCTTAGGTGGCTGGGATCTGGGGCATCTGTCAGACTCACTTTATACAGCACAGCTGGGCTTCCTGGCCCTGCGCCAGGAGCCTCTCCCAGGTCCTGCCTAGCACACAGTGGAATTAGCAAACATTTAAATGTCATGCTTCTGGGAGCCACTGTCATGGTAAACATTGTTGCTCAGTCAACAGCAAGAGCAACAGAATCTCCCTTGAAGAGGACACTATGGTCACAGCTTTTTTCTTGCCTCTCCTACTGGATTCATCACAGGGCCTCTCTCGCCTTCCAACAGAATAGGAAGGAATGTGGGACTGCTTTGCCTGTCTCCGTGCAGTGCTGGGCACTCAGGGGCTGGCTTCCTAACCCCCAGGGCTCTGTGGCTGCCACTGATGCTGCTTGCCAAATGAATCTGGTTCTCTTCACTTATGGGACAGGGTAGGTTTGCAGTCCCTGGCTCCTGTGAGTGAAAGCAGCAGGGAATAGTGCTGACCAGTGTGGTGTGGACGGAAGTGACAAGTGCTGCTTCTAGAGGGGAACACTTTGCTACTGGCCGCACACTTTGCCGACACATCTCATTCCTTCTCATCTAGTGATCCAGAATGTTCAATACGGCAGCTCCTCCATCACGCCGGATCCTTGAGAGACTCCAGTAAACAGAGACCTCTGCCATCCTCAGTGGGTACATGGCAGGAGCAAGAGATCCACCTTCACGATTTTAACCTACTGAAATGTGGGGAGGCCAGTGCCGTGGCTCACTTGGCAAATCCTCTGCCTGCAGTGCCAGCACCCCAGGTTCTAGTCCTGGTTGGGGCGCTGGTTCTGTCCCAGTTGCTCCTCTTTCAGTCCAGCTCTCTGCTGTGGCCCAAGAAGGCAGTGGAGGATGGCCCAAGTGCTTGGGCCCTGAACCCGCATGGGAGACCAAGGAGGAAGCACCTGGCTCCTGGTTTTGGATCGGCACAGCGTGCCAGCCATAGCGGCCATTTTGAGGGTGAACCAATAGAAGGAAGACCTTTCTCTCTGTCTTTCACTGTCTAACTCTGCCTGTCAAAAAAAAAGAAGAAGAAGAAATGTGGGCAGTCATTTGTTGTTGCAGCATAAACCTAACCTCTTCTGACTGATACAAGCATCAGTGCACAGAGATATTTGAGAGAAGAGAGCAGACGCCAATCTGATACTTCCTCTCACTTTCCCAGGCATCTGAAAGAACTGGATAAACTTCACAGCAGGAATTCAAGGGACCCTTTGGGTTGACAGTGGCTGCTTTTGCAGCACTAGGGAGAACCCTGGTTAGGTCTCCGGGGAGAATCCTGGGACACAGAGGAAGGGGACCTCCCAGGGCATATTGGAGGAATGCTTCTGCTTTGGGGGTTGACAACACAGAAGCTGTAAATGTCTCAGGACCCAAGTGGAGGTGCACCTGCAGTTCCATTTGCTCAGCCTGGGAATGTGTCTAGAAAGGGTGTCAGGCTTGGGGAAGTGAGGTATGGTAGGGCTGTGCCCACAGTGCCGGCACAGACACTTTGAAGGAAGACATGAGGTTGCATTGTGTCCCTTCAGAGACAGCTTAGAGTATGAGTCTCAGCCTATATGAGACACAGGAGGGGATTGGGTCTGGGTGTATGGAGAGGTGGAGAAGGCAGAGAAGAGGCAAAGCATCACTCCATGTCTAGGTGAGAGAAGTTGTCTGGGGCCCTAGTTCCATGACACATGAGGGAATGGAAGCGCCGGTGAACAGCAGAGGCTGGGTCTTCTCTTATTCCAACCCTGGTCCTTGGTAGTGAGTGTCTGAAGAGCCTCCCGGGGTGAAAAGGTGGCTCCTTCCATCTAATATGGGGAGCATCAGAACTGGCATTCCTGGCCCAGCTATGCCTAGACTGCCCCTAAGATGCACAAGACGGCCATGGGATGTGGATCATGAACATTCGCATTGCAGAATTTCAGAGTTAGCCTTGAAGATCTCCCTTCAGGCATCTTCACCACTGCTGTGGAACTCCGCAGTTTCTTTGCCAGCACTGCTGTAGTCTGTGACTTTCAGATTTCAACAGCCAAGCGCAGGGAGTTTAGTCAGGCAGCATGACTGTCTCCTACCATGTAGAAGTAGGGAAGGTAGGTCAAGGGCAGAAGGCTTTCATCTGGCAGGAGTTGTCATTGTTTTAATTTAGGAGAAGTGGTAGTATCACCTGCTGGTTGTTGAGGAACAGGGTGTCTCTGGGAGCATGGTGAGCTGATTTCTTGTATCTATGTCTGCACAATCAGTATTACCAAACAGGTAGCTTCTGGATAGGTGAGTTGGCATGGAAAATGATTCCCATTTGAAGCTGAATTAGCTCTGAGCATCCTGCAGATCTATGGGTTCTCCAGGGGTTACATCTCTCCCTCTTCCTTGTCTCACCTTCCTGCCAGCTGTGACCTCCATGGGCAAATCATCACTGGCTGCCTCACTCATCCACATTCCGAGCCACTTCCAATTGTGACCAGGCTCCCCAGAGTTAACTGTCGCGTCCTAGTAGAGTAAACCATATTCTTTCTGTGACAATACCTTTCATTGAAGGACTCTCCCTACTTCCCTATCTATGGTGGCATTCACTCTTCACAGTCTTTTCATCAGTTGCAAAATGAATTTCCATAGTGTAAGTACCTATTTGCAGTTCCTTTCCCATCACCAGGAAGACCAAAGCCATTCACACAAACATTCAGTGAAGGACCACAAGGCTTTTGCAAAACACAATAGAGTTATATTTTTATTCTTTTCAGTCTCTGCTTTTTCTCTCTGCTTTTCCATTTTCCAAATGTCTTTCTCCTGATTCTATTATATACATTCGCACTCCAGTGTTTCTGTGGTCCCAGGAAGTCTTTAAGCCCAATATCATTATTCTTTGTTCTTGTTTTAATTTCTTTATTTTTCAACAAGACACTGTAAACCCTTTGTGACTGTGTGTGAAAAGGCAGCTTTCTTTTTTTTCTCCCCTAATTTTTCCCCAAGTTTCACAACTTGTTTCGAAATTTATATAGCAGTGTCAGATAACCAGTGTTTTCTATGTACTTGCTTTGGATCTTTGCAGGTGCTTCCTTCCCTAATTTTCTTAAAATATAACTAGGCATCCATTCATTCATTCATCCACTCAGTCTTGTAACAATTCAACAAATGCTTATTGAGGACCGAATATGTGGTAGCCACTGTCCTAGGTGCTGGAAATGCGCCAGTGAATGAGATAGGCTGAGTTCCTGTACTCACAGCTATGTAAGACTAGATACTTTTATAGAGGAGAGTAACAAAGTTATGAATAATCAAGAATCATTCTGTTAGATGGTAATACATATGCTGAATAAAGTAAAGCAGGGCACCATGATACGGAGTTAGGTATAGGAGTTTGTAAACAGGGGTTAGGGAAGGCAGCCATATCCTACAGGAAGAAGAAGTGCCACATGGGAAAAATCCAAGGCAGGAGGACACTAGGTATGTTCAAGGAAGAGCAAGGTCAGAGTGGCTGGTCTCAATGAGTTAAGAGAGGGAGGAGATAATGTGGGAGCAGTGGGCTGAGAGCTTTTAAGTCAGACACAGACCTTGGAACTGAGCTAAGTAGCATGATCTACACTGGAGAGTGAGAGGCAGGGAGTGACACCTATCTGGTTCTCATTGTAGAAGAATCACTCTGACTTCTCGAGGAAGGATCAAGAGCAAATGGGAATGAAAACAGAGTTCATTCAGGAGGACATTGCAGAGGTCAAAGAAATATGTAAGTCCATTTGGACAGACTGGTACCATGGAGATCAGGAAACATGACCAAGTTCAAGGTATACCTTGAGAATGGAGCAGATGATAACTGCTCATCAACTGCCCACAGGGAATGGGGAAAGAGAAGACCACGGACCAGTATGTAAGGAGTACAGACCGGGGAGAAACGTGTTCCCCAAGGCCTTGGGGAACATCAATTTTAAAGTGTAAGAAGAAAGGTGGGAATCAGCAGGGAAGATTTGGTAGAAGAAGCCAGTGATATAGGAGAAAACAGCAGCGTCATGGCTCCCAGACACCAAGAAGAGAATGCTTCAAAAAGAAGGGCATGAAAAATGAGGATAACTCTTCCATCCCTTGAACCAGAACTTCTAGAGGACTTCAAAAAGTTCACAGATGGATGGAATTTAAAGATAAATGCATTTAGATGCAAAAAAAATTCTGAAAGTCATGCACAGTTTTCCATCATATGGATTGTGCATGAACTTTCTGAAGACCACTTGTATGCATGAATTTTAATTTTTTTGCACCCAACTGGACAAGCATTAATTCATTTTCCAAGAATGTTTTGATATATGTCATCAAATAGAATCTCTCTCTCTAACTCTGCCTTTCAAATAAATAATTAAAAAAAAAACACATTCCCACTTCCTTATCTTTAATTACTAATAGGTGTCCATCCAGAGGCACAGTTCAGATGTTTCCTGAGAGAGGATGCACAGAGAAAGAAATAACCTATGCCAGAGGAGGTTTCTCTCTCTTGATGGAACTGTAGCTGGCTTGCCTGTTTTGCACCTGTAACTGTAGATAGTGTAACAGAAGTGGTGAGCCATCTGGTGTCAGATTCATATATATATATATATCTGCCTTGCCTCTGAACTTCAGGGCTAGCCACGAATCCAGGAAAGCTGGTTTTCCCTCACTCTCCACATGGGATCTGGCACTAAGTCTTCCAAGTTTCACCTCCCAAGTGTCCTTCAAACTCCAGCACACTTCTCTGCCCCTCTCTGCTATGGCTAGGATTGATACCATCATTGACCAGGGCTGGACAGTTGAACAAGATTCTTTGTGAGTCTCCCCACCTGTGGTCTGAGCCCAGCAACCTGCTCGCTGGGTGGCAGATTGATCTTTTCTCCTTCAGCTTAGAGACTTCAGCACTTTCCCTGTGATCTTGGACCAAAGACCAATTTCCAATTTCCTTAGCGTGCCCTTCTGCTCCAGCTTCCTTTACATCTGAAATGACACATCACTGTCACTCTTCCTACGATCTTCTCCATCATAGATTCCTCCATCACTGGCTCCCATAGAACTATGTTCTTTGCCTTGAAGAAATTCACTCTAGTTTGCAACTATAAACTTAACGCTATTTTTATTTGGTTGATATCTGTCCTTGCCATTGGAGATGAAACCAGTGACCTTTGTGTTTTTATTTTTCCAATGTTTTTTCCAGCACCATCTCAGCCAACTGTCAAATGAAAGAATGAATGCCTGTGAGAAGAGGCTGTGACAAAGCCGAGATGAGCTCATTCAGAGAGAAAACAGGTATAGACAGTTGTCACCTGAGGGCCCAGGGAGATCTGGCTGCAACGGCCATGGACACCTGTGAATCTTGTTCTCTTCCCTGAGTGTTTCTGTAGGTCCTGGCCTAGACCTCTCCAAGAGTTTAATAGCTTCATCTAAAGACGCGACTTTGTCCTATTTCTTCATCTTCATGTATTTCAGCCTCTTTGTAGGTCTCCATAAAAAAAAAAATCCACTCCCATCAACCTCATAGTAAATTTAAAAAAAAGCCCTGTGACTCATGGAGAAGAGTCATCTCATAGTTAATGCTACTCTCTTCACTTTTTCCCTTTCTGGCTTTCTCTCTTTCTGGTTTACTATTCCACTTTCTCCAACTCCAAAGGACAAATTCCTCCCGTGTCATGCAGAGCACCTTCCCACCACTCCTATGCAGCCTTGAGGCCATCTGAAACCCAGGTTGGAGGAGGATTCTGTCCCCAAACATGCACACAGAAACCAGGGTTTGGGAATGGGAGAGGGAGGAGGAGGCGGGGTGGGAGTGGAGGTGGAAGGGCAGACATGGTGGGAACAATCACTATATTCTTAAAGTTGTACTTATGAAATTTGTACTCACTAAATAAACGGTTTCTTTGGGAAAAAATAAAATAAAATAAATGATATTTTTAAGAAAGAAACCGATGGAGAGCCCAATAGAGACCCGTACCTTCAATGTGATGTGAAACATGAACATTCCCTGTTATAACAACAAGATGATCCCATCCAACCTACCAACTCTACTCAGTCATGAAGACAGCCTATGGCATGGGGAAGGAGAGTGTGGGATGTCTTAATAAGGAATATGCATGGGCTAGCTCTTGGCTGTTTTAGGGACATCACTCTGGTTGTGACTTTCATGAAAATGTGGACCATCATTAGAACCACCTGGTTTTTAACGACTCAGCCCTCCCTCGTCACTTGAGATTCAGGCCCAGTTGATTTGGATGGTGCCCAGAAGTGGTGCTTGGGAGACCACCCTGGTGATTCTAAAGTGCAGCCACGGCTGGTGTTCATTGATGAAACATCTCCTTCCCCTTAGAGATAAGAGAATTGAGGCTCAGAAGGCAAATCTGCAGCTCAACAGACATCCTGTTACTCATAATTCTATTTTTGCTTGCTTTGAAAGCTCACATTTTTTTTGCTTTACAATGCAGCATCCCCATTCTTGGATTCTTTATTTATCTCCCAAGTGGTTGGACATCTTTGGACTTCTTCTTCTGGGGAGGATGGATGGCATCATACTGCAAGTCATGGCATGGAAGTGTTTTTCCATTGCAGCACTTTTGGACTGTAGTGTGCACGTGAATCTCCTAGGGAACTTGCTAATGCAGTCTGATTAAGGAAGTCTAGGTAGAGGTGAAGATGCTATACTTGCATCTCTAACATTCTCTCAGGGGAGGCAGACACTGTTGGTCTGTGGACCACAATTTGAGGAGCAAGAGTGAACTGGAGTATTGCTATTTTCCCACCAGACTTCCTGCCTCATTTTGTCAAATGCCTTTAGGGAATTTGTCTCGTTATGCTTTGGATGAGACCTTCATCCCTAACTGCAGGGATTGATATGAGATTACTGGAGGAGTTCCATTTTTCCCCGAGGTTGTTAGACTGAGAAGTGTGTTAATAGGAACAGTAAGGAGACATTGGGCTTGCTGTGTAGTGAGACTTTGTTTGCTAAAGCCAAAGTCAAGGTGACAGATGGACAGAGAATGCTGATGTCTGATGTCTGTTGTCATCATGTGAGCCTATATATTTAACTATACCTAAATATTTACTACAAAAGCTCTCAGTTATCTCAGTTAATACCCACCCCCACCCCCATCACCCACTTAGGCTAGTATAAGTGTGTTGCAAAACCCCAGTGGAAGACTGGATAGTTGAGGTGGTTTCCAACTATATAAGGATACCTCCAGCCCTGCTAGGAAATTTGGCTTTACTTACTATGCAATAGTGAAGCAACTGGTTCAACTGTAACCCGTGGAGCTGGAATGGCTGTCTTAAGACTTGGTCCTAGTGCCTATTTGCTTATTGAACCTGGAACTTTAGAAAGATGTTGGAATGTTAGAGTAGGCTGCCTTTATCCTGTCTGTCTTTTGATCTACCAGCAAATATTAACAATGAAAGATCACATTCCAGCTACTTGTCTGAAATCAGGGAGGGAGTATCAGTTGTAATGTGCTGTGGTCAGCAATCCGAGACAGGAGCCTGTCAGACTGTCACATACCCTGACACATTCTTTGCATCAAACTCAAGTTAAGTTAGGGGAGATCAGGGGATGCAAACTTGTATTAATTATTTGTTATTGAATAAAAATGACCCTGAAACTTAGCAGCTTAAAATAACAACTATTCATTATCTCCCAGGTTGAGGGGTAGGAATTCCTGCCCAGAATAGGGGAGAGCTTCTGACTTAGTCACCTCTCATAAGGACACAGTCCTATGAGTGTAGGCTTGAGCTGTGGCCCATCTATAGATTCAACTTGGGGGAAAGGGGTATTTGCTTTTTTTTTTTTAAAAGATTTATTTCTTTATTTGAAAGAGTTGCACAGAGATAGAGAAAAGGCAGAGAGAAAGAGAGAGGTCTTCCATCCACTGGTTCACTCCCCAGTTGGCTGCAATGGCTGCGCCGATCTGAAGCCAGGAGCCAGGAGCTTTTTACGGGTCTCTCACGTGGGTGCAGAGGCTCAAGGACTTGGGTCATCTTCTACTGCTTTCCTAGGCCATAGCAGAAAGCTGGATTGGAAGAGGAGTAGTCGGGACTCAAACTGGCTCCCATAAGGAATGCCGGCACTTCAGGCGGAGGCCTTACCCACTACCCCACTATGCCGGCCCCGGGTATTTGCTTCTAAGAGGTCATGCGTGTTTGGCAGAATGGATCCTTTGCCATACAGGTCTTTCATTGGATTGCTTCACAGCATGGTAGCTGGTTCCCTCCAGGGTGAATATTTGGGGACAGAGAAAGAGAAAAAGTACCCAAGACATAAGCCGCTATTTATTTATAACCCAGCCTCAGCATAAACAATTGATATTTCCAAGCCACACTCAGGAGGTGGTGGCCATTGGAAGCCATGGCAGAAGGTCTGTGAAAAATAAGACTGTAACATTTTGGGACACGCCACATCCTTCCCAAATGCCTTCAGCTGTGTATTCTTTATTAGCGTTAGAACCTTCCCTGCACTTGAGGACAAAGAGCACATTACTTCTGCCTGCCTCTGCGGGTGGTGGCAATGGTCAGAGGCAGCAGCCGGCAGGGAAGCTGGCAAGTTGGGTTCCAGGCCTGGGTGGCAAGAGGACTCTGACCTGTGGCTAAGAGCCGGAAGAGCACGGCTGAGGCCCAGATCAAAGTGCTCATTAAGACGAGTGCTGGTTAGTTACAGTTTTCAAAAATCAAACTGATCCACAATTAACTATGTTTTCGAGGAATTATTTGTACTATGGGACAAATCACAGGTCCATGTGAGCATAGCCCCTCTGAAACCCCTTGGCCTGTGTCATCCAGCCTGGTAGAGAATTGTCTGCTAGGAAGGTGTTGGTACCAGTTTTCTTTAAACCCTTGTCAGATGTGGAAGATGATGGCTACATGGGCAGGAAGCAAGCAGCCCAACTGACTGGCTGACGGCTTGTTCCACTAATAGGGAGTAAACCTTTCCTTCTCTTTTTTAGAAGCTGTTATGGCCCAGTGACCACTGAAGTCAATTACCCTCTTTCACCTTTCTAAATCAGAGTTACCATTTTGTTAGTCTTATATCAATATAACATTAAGCTTGTAGAAGTCACTAAATTGATCATTTAGCCTCAGGTTGCATGAGTTTGGGGACCCGTAAATGCCCCCAAATGAGAAGGACACATACCTTCCAGATGGACCTGCAGCTGGGAGCAGGGACCAGATGAGATACAGCATTGTTTTCCTTTGGGGAAAAGTGTGTGGGTGCTGGGATTGTATATCAGATGGCAGCATCATGCTAGGAATATTTTGCAGAGATGAACAGACAGGAAGGAAGGCACTTCCTGAGAGTGAGGTCATAGGACAGAACACCACGGTATTCTGGTAGCTGTGCCTGTGATCTTTCTTGCAGGATTTCCCAACTCCTTCTCCTATAATCCTTCTCTCTCTTTCTATGGGACAGCTGTGAGACTGCCATTTAGACTGTTTTTGCTCCTTCTCCTTGGGGTTTCTGTCTTGCAATGGGAAGCAGCTCCTCTGCAACAGATACATATTGAATATTTTGGCCTCAATTCTTTCCCCCTGTGAACCTTGTTAACTACTTTTCTATTTAATGTTACAGAGGATGACCTTGATCTGCTTCTAATAGAGTAGAAAGTTTAACTTGTTAAATCTATCTTATCCTGCTCTCAAGCTGAAGACATATCTCTATCTAGGAGAAACACTGTCCAATATACAGTGAAGGCTTTTGATCTGCAGATTTAGGATTTAAGGACATTTTTTCTTTTATTAAACTGTGGATGTTTGCTTTTGCTTGACTTCCTTTATTCTCCCCATCAACTATACCATCAATATGTATTTTGTATCTGTATTTCCTGTTGTGTATTTGTGTCATTGATCTCTTCATGAATTTATTTTTCCTTTTCCTCTTGCTGATGGGTGAGATCCTCAAGACTATCCTTCCATTGCTGATAGGATCTTTTTTTGCACGGTGGGCTCTTGTTGACTCTTTTTATGCCATAAAGAAAAAACAAACTCTTTTCACACACTCTGCTCATCTTGTTTCCTTTTTATAACTCTCTCTTAGCAGCTGCCTTTTCATCTCACTGTATTGTCTTTTGTTTTAATATTGTTGACAGTACCAGACAAATGTCTAAAATTTATGTCTGCTTCTCACAGCAAACCTTTTAAAAAGAATGCTCTCCTATTGCATGTAAGTATCATAGTTTCCTTCTGTGTTTGGAATCTCTTCATAGGCCCCATATTATTTTGCTTTTATTTTTCCACATCTGAACAATAAAGCCTGTGTCTGTGTCTAGAATTTGTTCTCCAGACTGGATAAATGAGTTATCCTGACAGCACCTCACCGAGGTCTCAAGCTTGAGGGTAGTCTAAGCATCAGAGAGAGATGTCTACAGTCATGGAGAAGAAAAGCAATTTTGTGACCAGGTGGTTCTGCTAGGACAAAACCACCAAGCCAAGTAAATATTCTCTTGGTCTCCTTCATGACCTCAGATGGTCTCCTTCATAACCCTCCACATCTGGAGGAGCCCTATTATTCTGTGGGGTGCTGTGGCATTCACTGTGGCTTCTCGCTCATGGCTTGGTGCAGCTGCCCATGCCTTGGTCTACCAGTGTGATTGCCTTTAAATCCCTGACTCTTTACACAGTGTTACCCTCCTCTTGAAGAAGAAGCTCCTCACCCCTTTGTTGCAGTTGATTTCTCAACAATGTTGTGGTGGATTCGTTTCTGAGAGGAGGAGCATGGTGGGGGCAAGAGGCGCGGAGTCACCACACAGACCCCGGAGTCGGGTGAAAGCAGGCCTGAGACGAGCAGCCCACAGACTCATTTATTTGAGTTAGTACAACAGCTTATATAGCCAAGACCAGCCAATCTGGTCAAGGGACGGTCTATGCCCCAACCAATCACAGCCTGTTGCCAGGCAGTTTCCAAAGCCATCCAGTCACAGCCTGTTGCCAGTCAGGCTCTTATTGCCAGGCAGTTTCTGAAAGCATCCAATCACGGCCTGCCGTCAGTCAGGCTCTGTTGTCATGTGGTTTCCTCTGTTGTCATGTGGTTTCTGAAGCCATTCAATCACGGCCTGTTGCCAGACAGTTTCTGTTGTCAGTGGCCATCTTGGCATGACCTTTTCACCTCAGTGGCCATCTTGATATGACCTTTTCACCTCATTCCACCACACCCCTTCCCTGCTACCTTCCACCAATAGTTTCCTACCTGATACACAGAATTTCCCAGTGTTCATCAACTTTTCATTTGATGTGTATTCACAACTCACATATCACCCTTCATGTGTTAACTTAGAGCTATTTCCAATACCTAGAGTATACTGCCATAGTTTGGACATGACTTGGCTCCCCTACTCATGTACATGTTTAACCCCCAAAGTTGTGGGCTGGTGGTGTTAGGAGGATGGAGGCCTGGTACAATTATGGAAGGATGACATGGGAACCATGGGGTGGAGAGAACGGCTATTGGGAGGTCCTTAGGTCTTTAGGGGCTTGTCCTTGGAAGGTAATTCTCATGCGATGGCTGGTTGCATAAGTTTTAGATGGGCCTGGCCGTTCTCTCTCTACTCCAGGGTTCCCATGTCATCCTTCCTCTGTGCGTGTTCTACCATTGCCAGTCCTCCATCCTTACTAGACGACCGAACCAATGGAGCCATTAAATCTTAGGCTGTGAACCTCCAAACCTATTTTCCAAAATAAATCTCCTCCTTTCACAAGTAGCTCTCCTTGGGCATTTCATTATAGTGACAAAATGATGATTAATGCAATATCAACATATGTTCCTCATCTTTCCAATATCTATTCCTCTTGAATGCCTAGCCAAACTGTCTTCTCCAAGTCAAGCATCTTTGGGTTTCTCTAGTCAGAGTTATTTCTCCTATTGTACCTTGTACACATCTTTATTTTTCAGTGTTTTGTTAAGTTGTTTTAATTGCTGATTCTTCTGTGTATCCAGCTGTCAAGCATATGTTTTAATCATTACTAGGCTCCCCTCTTTGTTGTTGGCATCTAACAGACAGCTCAGTAAATGTTTATCAATGAACTAATTGGGTGAGGAGGCTTGAGTGTCCAAAAGCAAAATCTTCTACCTCTAGCTGCTTCCTTTATCTTTGGAATAAGAAAGACCATGGTGACCCTCATGGGAGCTCAGTTTTGACTGGCTGCTGAAATCGTAATTCTCTGAGTTACTATGTATCTTGGCTGTGATAATTGTGATAATCCTTCTGGCCTGCAAAACCAGGTAAGGACACACAACGCCTAATGCATTGTGTTCTGCCCTTCCCAGGCTCATGGTGTTTGCAACCATCTCCACCCTGTCCCTGACTCTTCAAAAACAAGCTGTGCTACCTGCTAATTGGAAGAGTCCTTTAACTGTGAAAGAAGACAGCCCACTTTCTCATGTTCTCATTGCTATAAATCACACCACCTTTCTAGCAAGATGCCTGTCTTTCTCTCCTGACAGAAATGCAGAATTGAATATGCCAAGCTATCTCTGCCAGGTATACTTTATTTCCAATATTTCAACTAAATGTCAGAGACAGAAGTATGTCTTGCCTTTAAGAAAAAATCCTGTCTAATGCTTTTTCAGGGAGGATTGAGATGAGGCCAGGTGCTAATTTATTCTAATCTTCCCTGGAATTGAGTGCTATACTCAGGAGCTATCAAGTGATGAGCTCTGCACACAGCGATGTCTTCAGATGTAGAAAGTACTTCCTATAAACAAAAGAGGCCACAATGTTGGGAGTTCAAACTCATGGATTTTTTTCTTTCCTTCTTTTATGCAGTTTTATTGACCTATGTGGATGGAAATGTCTCATCTCTTCCATTGAATCATTCCCATGGTCTTGTAACATATTGATGCTGAATTTTGCCTTCCTATATTTTTTCAAAATATTATTTAATTTTTTCCACCTTATTTGAAAGACAGAGGGACAAAAATCTTCCATCAGCTTGTTCACTCTTCAAATGCCCAAGATGGGCAGACTAAAGCCAGGAACCCAGAGCCCAGTCCAGGTTTCCTACATGGGTGATAAAGACTCAAAGACCTGAGCCATCATCTGCAGTCTCTCCAAGTGGGCATTAGGGGGAAGCTGGCTCAGAAGCACAGGAGCCAGGGCTTGAACAGGCATCCAAAATGACTTCACCACTGCACTGAACATCTGCCCCTACCTTCACGCTAAACACAGTTTCTTCGTTAACCAGCTGGTCACTGTAGGGGTTTCATGTTTCAGCCGATATGCTTGCAGTTTCTAGAGTGGTCTTGCTTTCACAAGAGATTTCTCCCGCATTAAGACTAAAAATGCTACATGCCTGGAAAGCAAGGAATAAACAGAGGTAGACCGATGATGTTAGCCCCTCCTATGAACTGAAGCTTGAGTGTATAATTGAAGGCATCTTAACTCAATATAAAAAGTTGTCATTCAGATTGCCACCCTCCCCATGCACAAGGGATAATTTATTTCAATTTTCCCAGACAGAATATTCTAAGTGAGGCAAGAATCATAGAGTCTGTAAATTACCTTGTGATCACTTGTTTGATAAATACGACAGAGTCTTTTCTCCATGGGACAATAAACATTGTTTTCCAAATACATTGAAATAAGCAGGTCATCCACTGGGGCTTGGAAATCTTTTTGCCATGGAGAGCCTGTCATAGGTGTGATAATGATAATGCGATTTGCTCTGGGTTTTGTTCCTGTGGTCTTTTGACTGCTGAATTTGGCAAAGGCTGGAAGAAGTGAAGGAATCTAGCCCAGTTCTAGAAGTGGGTACCCTTGAAGATGAATGTGAGTTTTGGGGGTGGGAGGTTGATTATAGGATAGTATATGGAAGTAAAGAAGACTTGGACATAAGGATTTTGAAATATGTGGACAACATTTCTGGTTCTAGCTTATAAGAATAAATACGGTGGCTGGCGCCGCAGCTCACTAGGCTAATCCTGCGCCTTGCGGCGCCGGCACACCGGGTTCTAGTCCCGGTCGGGGCGCCGGATTGTCCCGGTTGTCCCGGTTGTCCCCCTTCCAGGCCAGCTCTCTGCTGTGGCCCGGGAGTGCAGTGGAGGATGGCCCAAGTGCTTGGTCCCTGCACCCCATGGGAGACCAGGAGAAGTACCTGACTCCTGCCATCGGATCGGCGCAGTGTGCCGGTTACAGCGTGCCGCCCACGGCGGCCATTGGAGGGTGAACCAATGGCAAAGGAAGACCTTTCTGTCTCTCTCTCTCTCTCTCTCACTGTCCACTCTGCCTGTCAAAAAAAAATTAAAAAAAAAAAGAATAAATACGGTGGCAGCACTGTGGCATAGCAGGTAAAGCTGCCGCTTGCAGTGCCAGCATCCCA